GGAAGCTGAACTTGAGAAATTTTATCTGGTATGAATATAATTTCACTGTTTAGGTTTCTGTACTTCAAAATCTTATCTATCTTAGGAAGTTGCTAAAGCAACAGTATTCATAAATACGAAAGTTATATGCATTAAAATAAGTTATATTTCACTGCGGTTAGGTTTATTGCTTTGCTGCTTCAACTGCTGCTTTTAAGCTTCAACTGCTTCTTTTAAGCTTCAGCGGAAAAAGATCATAATTAAGCATGTCAATTTCTAAATTTCGGAACAGTTTTAAAGTAGTTAATCGATTGGTTAATTACTTTGCATCTCGGCAAAATATTTACATTCATATTTGGTAGCAAATTGTAAACTGAACATGTAAATATAAGCTATGTAAAATATGACATATATTTTATGAAGTTCAGTTATAAGTTTTTAAATCATAAGGTAAATATTAATTTTGTTTAAATTCTATGGATAACAAGCTATAGCTCAAATTATCCTTCAAAAACACAGTTATAGAATTAAAATTATTAAATACATAATCAGAAAACATTTTTTAAGAAACTATAACTAATTTTTTTAAACATTAGGTCAACGGAATAATGATTACATAGCAATAAATATAGTTAACATTCTTATTATCATATTGTGAAAAATGTAGCTTTCAGTAGTCGAATCTAGGTAGTTTGCTGCATCGCGAAATGAATTCTAGCAGGTTGCCTCGCCAGCACAGACATTTTCTTAATTTTATAAAATTATAGTTATTGAAGTTAATCAAATAAAAATGAAGAGTAATCAACATTAATGTTGGTCATAGATTTGCGTGTAAGCTCAAAATTTAAAGCTAACCATGTTACACTTATCGTACTTAGGATGAGAGGAAGGACAAGTCTCCGCAGAAATTAATTTAAAATTTTGTAATTCATGCAAAAGGAAGGGCAGTGTATTGCCGTTATTGATTATAAAGAAATAATCAATATATAGGTTTGGACAGGGATTTCACGCCTTTGACATTACTTATGCACCATGTTACTACGCATCTCTCGGGGGGCACAATGGCGATTATCTCAGAAAATATCCTCTAGTTAAAAATTCCTAACTTTAGAGTTTTTCCACTAGCGACTTGTCAACGGTAAAATATACAATAGGGTAGCCTTGCATTCGTAACAACCATTGTTTTATATGTACAAAGCTGTAACGAAATATTGTCTCATCAAATGCGAAATATATAAATTTTGCATATCTATCCTTTATACGTTATCATCAAACATTTTGAGAAAATTAATGTAATAATTATTAGCAAAGCAGATTTAAGCTAATTTTATTATTGTTTTATAATCAAAATCAGAAATGTAATAGAGCCAGCATTCTGAATCAGATGCAACATTACTTTCATGACAAGATCTGGATTACTGATCAGGAGACATACTGCAGAAGGGCTTACTTTTTTACCATCTATCTATTTTCAAATGAGTACGAAAGTATGTTTGTAATAGTACGAAAGTATGTTTGTAATATTTCGAGAGCCAATAAAAAGGCAACAGTGTTTCTAAACTAAAAGAACAGTACATGCACTGCCCCCCTTCAGCTTAATAGTTGAACAACTAAACCAGAATGCTTTTAGATGCATGGCTGACTTCACTCCGCTGTGTTTTCGTTGCTCTTTGCTATAAAGACAGCTCCCTGTATCCAAACTTATGAATGAAACTGAACACTGACAGGGCTTAAACAGGCTGAAAGGTTTCATCTCCAAATGGACCAGCTGCTCTGTCGATGGAGTAAAGTCATACTGGTTTATTATAAATGTTAGCGTCGAGTGTCAAGCTCGATATCCAAGAAACGAACTACAAATATTTAACAGTGCATTAATTCCTTTCGACATGCGCTTTACATTTTTTAACCTGAATTTCTACAGCAGGCTGCCAACGAGGATAGCAGTGACGATAACGAGGGGTCACAAAACAACCGCTTTCATGAGTCAGGGAATGGACTCTCTTCAAGTGAAAGAAGGCCATAACGAGAATATTAATGATGATATCCAAAGATCATAAACAACGGCTCACAAGGGGCAACAAATAATATGCGAACCTTTAGCTTTACATTTGAAGTTCAGTAATACATTAAGCGGAACTTTGCCCTTTTCGTTTTCACTTTAGGTCAGCTACTTATCAACAAATAAAAAATAGATTCTGAAATCTAATGAAGAGATTGTAATATATGATCTGTATCTGCACACGGCATACTCATCCCACCACGTCATTTTAAAATAGATTTCCTTTCATTAGTTTCTTTAACGGATAAATGATTTCGAGAAACAGAACTATTAATTAGTCCCATTGTGTTGGTGTCCCGGCTGTGCACTTAAAACCTATGCGCTAAAACGATGAGTCAAGTGCTACTCTTCCTCTAAGAAATCCGTGGAAATGACGGAACTGCTGCAATGAACTTGGACCGTGTAAAGACTGACAGAACATTTAAAGAAAAATATTTCTAAAGCGTTAATAATATGTGGATGCGTATCTTAGTCTGCAAGCGGTTTCTTTTCCATCAATTTATACTGTTTTAGCTATAATTGATTTGAGGAATTAGCACAAGAACTTTATACCACAGAAACTGTAATACACTTTCAATAATATGTATCACAGTTTTTAATCATACGACTTCAGTTATTGATAAACAGCTAGAATGTTTAGCGAAAGGTTAACGAAAAATATCACATATCTCAATCAGCCATGAAACTTAACCATGTGTTACCTGAAATAGCGTGAAAACTTATATATTACAGTAAAAGTGCTCTAACGGAAAGTCGAAAAATTGTTGCAGTAAAATATTTATCTTGGTTTTTGATGGATGTCTACATCACGTATTTGCGTTATATTTTGCAAAAGTCACGAAATTCAAATGTGCCCAGCTTATTATCCTCTATTTTTCGAGTTAATGACTTTACAAGTACTCATTACTTATCGACTGCGTATGACATCTTATCGATAGCGTAGGACATTTCTCAAGTCAGTGGAAACAGAAAAGAGAGTCTTTTGGAGTGGTGATTTTGCGTTAGCCTAATAATTAAGTCTTCATTACAAATACGTGTCTTAATGATGGTTAGTTTATAGAAATATTAAAGTTTTACTAGATATAAGATGAGAAGTAGAAAGACTGCACTTCTGATACAAACTAGTGGATAATTCATCATGATGTCATTCAATGTAATGGAGAATTAACTACAAATTCAGTTCTTTTTTATGCTTTATGAGAAAGTCATTTATACGAAACGTCTTAAGACAGATACTGGAGAATGGATAAATTCTGTTCTTACTGAAGAAGTAAACGGTTAAAAAGTTTTACATTTTGTTGATGTTTATAATGCTTACCATTATAATAAATTGTCAGTATGAATTCAAAATTCATTTCTTGTGCTAGTAGTCATTTCCCTAGCGGATCCTTTAAAGCACTTTTGGAAATGAATTAAATCTTTTACTGCAAAAGCAATTAATTAAATTTATATAATCTGATTTTCTGTTCTAATGCTGGCAACTGTATGTGGTAATTAATATTATTTAAAAGAAATAAAACCCCACTGAGTTCGATATTAATATGTTGTTGGGATGTTTCTGTTTAATGGAATCCCTGATTTTACTGAACTACTGCCGGTCATTAGCATTTCATCGTGTGCTTAATATTCAAAGACAAAACAATCTATGTAATATGGATGCTTTCATGGTTTTCCGTATGTATAACAGAAATAAGATTCAGTTTGTCAAAAGAAGTCTACAAAGAAACAAAGTTCCAACCGTAGACTGTTCTCGAATGCTCTGACATACGGCAAAAGGCTACTTAACCAAACCTGTAAGGAACTATAAAGTTAAAATTAATCTGTTCCAAATAAATTCATTTCTAATTTAATTTTTTTTCATTCAGACATTATTTAGAATTACATATATATTTTCTCATGTAAGCAAATCTACTATTTGCGAAAGTAGCTGAGCAAGAAATGTGATGTCCAGCAAAGGGCGTTTTAGTACGTATTATGTGTTACGTGAGCTATTACTTTGTACTTAAAAATTTCTCGATAGTAGTTAAATTAACAAACATGAAGCATGAAAGTTTTCAATAAATTTTAGCATTTAATTATATAGTACATCCCAAACGAATTTTCGTTTGTATGTGAGGGAAATTTTCAATGGATTAGCATTGATAATGGCAATAGTCTGGAAGGGAGCTTTAGAAAACATAAACATAGGGTAACTTATGGTATTGAGTTTTCCAACTCATGTTGCTTATATTTGTGTAATTAAAACATAGTACTATTAACGTTTACCATGATTTCCTATGGTATTTGCAGGGTATTGGTTAAGAGTTTTACATTAATAATTTTATTTAAAAATAAGGTTGATTCTGTAATTGCAAGTACACATTATTTTTTTCATACTATTTGTATGGAAGCAAAAAGAATTAAATCCATATTTTTAAAGTGTATTTTACGAAAACACATTCAAAAATAATTGTAGAAAACGTTGTGTTCAAAACTGAGCCATTTTATTATTTTATGGAAACGATCCTGCTCACAGGTTGCACGAAGATGAATGTTATCTCAAAAAGTTTCACCTCAGGTTAGTTAAAAGTAAAAGGATTTTATTTTGAACTAATTGAGGTAACTATTGATTACACTGCAGTGTAATAAATAGTAATCTATAATTCCTGTTTCTCTTGAGCTTGAGGAAAAGTGTAGTTAAAATAAAGAAGGCAACATTCTGCCTGCAGTATCTTTATTATGCGTAGTTTGATACAATAGAAAGTCAAACTTCATTTAATGTATTTATTTAATGTAAATTAAAAAGAACGTTAGAATTTACTATTTCATTAAAATAATTCTTCTTATTTGGATAAAATCTTTTGTAGTTTATAACAAAGAATTCCTTGTTTAAGTATTCATAGAAATTTTTATTTCACAAGTACATTCTTTTCAAAGTTTATTCAACTATGTTCTTATATTTATCTATATATGTTTCTTTTAGTTTTATACGATGGTAAACAGAGATGAAGTTTTACAAGTTCTACTGGACAGGAGGGATGCAACAGTTTTTGCACCATCCAACAAAGCAATACAAAAAGCTAAATCCAGAAAACAAGACGACCCTAAAAGAGATGAGATTTTGACGATGCCTGGATTTTACGTCTGTAAGTTACTAGTTTCTACAGATTTTGCACATTTTTCTATCTATGACATACAAATAATTGTTTTCAAGCTATATTAATGTATTATATCTCTGTAAAACGGAAAAACTTCAGCTTGTAATGTACAAAACTATAAAGCCTTAAATTTTCATATCAGGTAATTTTAGATGTTGTAATATAATACAAGTTAAGTTGCCTATTTGTGCAACTGAAGACATTTTATTAAGCCATTGTTATCAGACTTTTTAATAAGACATTGTAATATGATACAGATCGCCTACTTGTTATATAATAAGTTAAGTCGCCTATTTGTGCCAGTTCTGTAAAGCCGCATTTTAACATTATTTGTCGAAATAGTTTTCCTCGACAAAAATATAAATCTGAATAACTTTCTTTTAGAGGAAAAACTTAATTTAATTTGTTAAGCAGATTTTATACGTTTGTCTATAGGAATTTTGCATCGTCTTCAATAAAATGAGATGAGGCAATCAAGTTCCTGGGAGATATATATAGCTTGGGGAGAGATAAAATAGGCTAAAATGAGTATGAGAGTTTGTACATCAAAAATGCAATTTATCAAGTGTGCGCATCATGCACAGAATTTTATGCCACCACACGCAAACATACTGCTGTTTTCATGCTGTTCATCATTTCTTGAGATATAATATACCATTCAAATGCACAAAAAATTTAAGCCTGAGTGCTTTTTAATGAAATATGATCACCAATCATATATGAATGATAAACATGCAGCTGAACTTCTTATTTACACCTGTAAACTTCGTGGAATACTTCGCGGAACACGAGAAGGTTTGTGTTGTTTCCTTAATTAAAAAAAACCATAAAATGAAAGTATTATTCAAGGTACGAAAATCAAACTTTAAAACATACTGTTATTCTAATCGCATCGTGGGGGGGGGAATAGTCAGCCCCCAGCTTCTGTTTGCTTTACATAATCATTTTGGCATGTGGTTTACGATTAAACTGGTATTCAAGAAGTGAAGGTTCAGTGGAATTATTTTACACCAACAGAGCACTTGGAGGATCTTTAAAATTAAAGCCATAGAAACTATTTTGGTTTATTTAATTACGGCAAAGCACACTAGGGCTATCTGCCTAAGGGGAGGGATGCTTTCGTGAAGGACTTTCTAAGGGAAACTGGCTCCATAGAAACTGAATAATTTGTTCCCTGAAGAGGAAATTTCAAAAGAAACTGGCTCATTTGAAAAGGACCTTGTTTCTAAATTGTGTTAAAGATTTGGAAAGATAACTAATGCTGAATAAATAGTTTTTAAAGTTAGATTTTAAAGCTTTTTGATATTAATAACTAAAATTTTTGTTTATGCTTTATGTAAATCTCTAATTACGTTTTCCCAAATGACATGGCATTGTAAAGTAGTAAAAGTAACAGGATAGTTTGGGAATGTTATTAAAAATCAAGTTTATGTCGATAAAGTATAGATTATTATTATTGTACAGAATGTTATACCTTTGACAAAAAGCAATTTCCATGACATATCTTTCCGAAACTAAGGGAAATTAAATTTGGAGTGCAAACATGAATTAAGAAATAGCTGCTAAAATATATAAATATACTAAAGATGTGATTTAAAAGGAAACGATATTAAGCTGTTTTTGTTAATTTCAGTGCTTTTGGAAAGAGCTCAGCATAAGACTTGCATGTAACAATTTGTAAAATTATGCAAAATATTGTTTCCCCTTAAAAATCCTTTGCTAAGCATTGTAAGGATAAAATAATTTTTGGTATCAAATATTATTGAAATCCGTTAATAAGCGAATTTCCCATCATATGATTTAAAATACTTAAAATAACTTGTTAATAAGATGTTTTACTATTTTAATGAGGTTGCTTAAATTTTCTGCACAATGTATTACAGAAAGAAAAATTAATTTAGGTGTGAATTCTGAGAAATGATTTCTCAAATGCTAATTTACTGAGAATATAGTTCATGTGTTCATGTCATCTCTTTGATTAATTTCATATCGAAATTTAACATAAATTTAATGAAAATTTTTATTCTTCAACATCACTGGTACAAAATGCAGATCCCCATAAATGCAACATTATTTGGGAGTGGTCTAGTAATTAAAAGTCTTCAATGCTTTATTTCTGTCTCAGGTTCGTCGTAGAGGTCCGCATATATTAAGTAGTGGCTCCAATTTTCCCTAAAAGATTTTGTATGAAGATATCTTTAATTACTCATATGTAGCATGTCGGTGTTTTACCCTAACTCATAAGTAGCGAATCTGGTACATCAAACTACTTTAATGTATTATTTTTCTCTGAAGAGTTAGAAAAAAAAAAAAAGAGCAATTCTTTCGAAGCGTCTTGTAGAATTTGGAATGGTAGAAGAAGTATCTTCCATCAAGTAGTAAACACATTTTACGGTCAATATTATCGATTTTAAAGAGCGTTACCATGCATTTCGGGATTCCCGTTCTTCATAGTTCCAGTATTTCGCTGCGACAGTTGGGATTTGAAAATACTTCGTGGATATATGAAAATATTGATTTTTCAATGATTGTTTATCGCAATCTGTAAGAAAAAGTTGCTACTTTCTTATCTCTTTATACTTACGTGATTAAGAACTTGACGTAGGTTTACTTCACAATACTGGCTAAAAACCACTTTGAATAAAACCTGGCTAAAACCACTTTGAATCGAACTTACCCATGGATTGACTCATGGATGATAGGATTATTCTTCAGAATGTTGAACTGATTCGGTGTATAGAAAGACGGGAAAAGAGATATAAGTAAATCATTGTAAAAAATTTACAGTTTCATTTTACTTTTGGTCAATTAGTTAACAAGCAGGAAAGTAAATTGTAAGATTATAAAGTTAGTTTTAATGTCAGCATAAATTAAATTTACAATATTTTCAGTAAAATAAACATTTTTAACTCCTCAATTAATAATAAAGAACCTGAAACGAAATAAGATTTAAATTTGTATGATTTGTGTCTAAAAGACTACACATGTATAGCAAAATCATTATTTAAATTCTTAAATCTATACTTTATGGATTCTGATATAATGAATAGTTAATAATTCTCTTTACCTATGTCTCTGTCTCCTCATATAACTATTACCATGTCAACCTCTGTTTTGCAAAAATTATAGAATATTCCTTTTCAATTCAATATATTTCTTAAAGAGTACAGCCCTTACTGGAGTAGAGAAATTCTTCGTATGTTGTAAAAGCGCAGTAAGAATCGGAGATTAGAGTCTCTAGTCGGAGATTAGAGATGGTGGCTCCATGTGAAAAGACATTCAAATATGTAGCGGTAGGAGTTGCTAGCCCCGCCACATTCACAGATGTCCGTCTAACTGCACTCAAATCAGTTTAGACACGACAAAATGAAGCTGTAACCTGTTAGAAAGTGAGTGAGAGTTAATTGGTTAGTTTGTAGTTCTTCCTTAACTTTCGGCATCAGCCAGTGGGTATACCTGCTTGTCACAGCTGAATTCCATTGTTCCAGCCACTACACAAAGAGATATGTGCTGGTGGACTCTTTTAGAAACGTAAGTGGTAGGGAAACATGATGCTACAGAAGGGAGAAGTTATTGACCACATCCTTCGCAATTTCATCTACATACTCATTTCCCAGAATACCAGCGTGAGCAGGCATTCAGCAAAGAGTAGGCCTCTTTTAACTGCTCTCAAGAAGTATTTTACGTTTTGAATATCTGAAGGACTGCGACTTCTCCCTGCTGAGATTGCGTTAATACTAGAGCCGAAGTCGTTGCATTAGTGAGTGAATAAGTGAGTCGGCCGCTGATATAAACTCCGACCACGGAGGGAACCAAACGGATTTATGTACCATCCCAGCGGGAAAATCTACTATCTGCCGAAACGGGGCCATAATAACAGCAGCAATAATAATAATCGAGTAATAAGCAAATGATCCCAATGCTTTGAGCACCATAATTACTGTGTGCGAGTTCTATAACAAAATAGTTACGCTGCTAGATAAATTATATACATATGCCTAATACTGTTAGGATTCTAGTGATTCTATAAACTCCAATGTAATATATAAGTAAAATCCGCTAATTTACTAAATCAGTGTTGTACGAATACATTACCGAGGCACATTGCAATATGCTACATATGAAAATGCAAAAATAACGTAATAATATACAAAAGCATGAAACTTATATAAGTAGATAAATTAAAATTTTACTGTTATATACAACTGAAATCAATTCTTTAATAACCACTTCATACGAAAATATTTTCATGTATTATTTGCTATATAGAGTGCTGCTTACTGCTCTAAAAGAATGCCATCTTGTCCTCTTCGATTCGAGTTTAGAGAAAATTTAAGTTTTTTTGCAGGAATAATTCAATCATCGTCAACATTTTTCTGCAAGCAAATCTTCAGCCAGTGTTAATTCTAATTGTGAAAATAAAGTATAATAATAAACATCTAATTGTGTGTAGTTTTAACTTTATAAACATAATTCTGAGATATTTATTTTTCTACATCATAAGTCTTTACATTCACACTCGAGTTGTTATCTGCTTAAAAGCTCCCCGCATACAGTTTTAGCAGATTGAAAAATTTTAAAGCACTCTTCTATAGCTTTTTTGTAGAATATTGTTTGAATCCATAATGATCATGAAATGTTTGGTGCTAACGTTTCGAGTATAATAAGCTAGTTGTTTGTTAAGTGACGAATTTCCACAGTTACTGTTCCATTGAGTGAGGAGCTGTTTTGCAAAATCTTATGACGATGACGGACTTATTCCCGCTAAAATATCAATTCCCCACGTAAGAAGAAGCAACATAATTGCATACAATTTTTATTGCTTATAAGCTTTGCAAATTCGCATTCTGATTCATTTAATTTTGCTACTGAAGGGAGAGAATTTAAAACCTCCATATATTATTTATTATCTTATAGAGCTTACTTTACCCGTAACTCTTCGACAATCTATTTCCCTTGAAAATTTGTTTTTTATCTTGAAATTATTCACCGGTACTTTTCAGAATTTCTAAAATATCTTTTTGAGGAAAGGAAACTAAAAAACGCAAAAGCTGTTTTTCAACGTTTAGACGGTTCTCTTAGTTCCAACAAATGTTTATATTAGTATTCATTTTAGACTGTTTAGTTTCGAAAGCCTTCTTATGCCACATTCAGAGGTTATTCTAATAATGTGTGCTGTAATGAAATTTACTCTTGCTTCATTAATTCATAATAAAATTACTATTCTCTTGCTTCATTAAGTCATAATAAAACGTCTGTTCTCTTGCTTCATTAATTTATAATAAAATTCCTGTGTCCTTGCTTCATTAATTCAAATAAAATGTCTGTCCGTTTGCTTAATTATAACAGCTTTTTTATCTGGCTGTCCTTCCTGAATTTATTTTTATCACTGTTCTTATTCGCACTCTTCCACTATTTGCGCTTGCGTCTGAAAAATCCAAAAATCATTTTCATCTCTTTTAAACAAAATTTTGAAGCAGCATTTATCGAAATATTTTATTTCCAACACATTTCTTCGAATATCTCGCAATAATTAGTTAATAAATTTGTTGTACCAAAGGAAAAATAATCGATTGTTTCATACAGACAGATTGCTGTAAAAGTTTTGAGAGCAAAAACACGTAGTAAATGATCTGTTAAATTGTATTTGACAGTAATATAGATTTTTAAGATAAGCTTATTTTTCAAACAGAGCGTAATATTGTAGATTTAAAGCGACGCAGAAAAATAATGAACAAATAGTCGTACGGAATTCATTGGGATTTCAAATGTTATTTACAGCAGGTTAATTTAAATTAAAACTCGTTGTATAGCCATAACATTCAGGCATTTAACTTAAATTAGGTGAGTAGTGCATGAAAATCAAAAATTTTTAAGGCGAAGAAGAAAATTAGTAATATCTGTGTCCAAAAGATCTCTCACGAATGAAGATAAAATATATATACGTGCATATTATTTTTAAGGATTTGATGTAACTGTCTTATTTAAACCATTTCCAAATTTTGCTTTTTTATTTGTATTCTCTCATAAAAAATTAATCGTCTTGATGAAAAGTAACAAGCTAGTAAATTTTGTTTTACTGTCCTCAGGCATTATCTTTATTTTGCTTTAGCATCCTTGTTTAATTTGATGAAGAGAGAGTAACGGTTTAATTTAAAAGTCAACTAAACATTAAAGCGTAAGCAATATACAGAAAATGTATTTATTCAATACTTCATCGTAATTCAAGTTTCTGTGGTCGATTTTCTTAATCCATAATTATTTTAACTGTCGGAATATTGAATATTTTAATATATGTTTGTCGTCAATAATGTTTTAAGAGCAGTTGCTGTAAAAATGCTAGCAATGTATAAGAATTTGTCACTTGAATTTGTGCACGAAGCCGTATATATTATTAATAATAGAGTCACTTAACTGAATCTTTTTCTTTTTCATTATTTGCAGTGAACGTGGTGGCGAATAAATCCATGTTCCCAATGTCGATATCGCCTTTTTTATCAGGAGTAGCCCCTCTATATTTAAGCTTGAAAGACGATTCAGGTCCGCGAAAAGTAAGTATTTTGAATTATTCAATTTAAAAAATGCTAATTATGCTTAAATTCCTCATTGTTTTATGTTGCTGTTTTACTTTATATAGATACATTTTTTTACAATGAAATGTTAATTTGTGCATTTAATAATTTTCTATGTATACTACCATGACGAAAATCTGGAAATCTGAAGACTGCATTTGATTAAAATCAAATAAAATTAGTTGTGGAGCAAAAATTTAACTTTATTGTTGTTCGGAGGAAAAAACGCAATTAAGTAGTTAGTACGAACACAGAGTTGAATGTGCGTGCTTCTCGAAGTGCAGTATGCCAATATTTCAAGGTGTTAATTAGACTTGAAATAAAATAAATTATGCGAGCGCAGGTATTCAGCATCCCCCCTTATTTCAGTACTATAATATTACACGAATAAGCCCAGAACTTAACTAAGGAATACAAAAATTCTTTAATGTTTTATGTGTGTATTGATTATGATATATGAATACAACGTGTAATCGGCTTATATCTGCTGAACATGTATCACAAATTTCAGGTTTGTTGTGAAGCAAGATATTTCTTTTGCACATATTACCATAGTTCTAATGACGGATTTTATACATTGCCATATTTTCGTATTAATAAAAAGTAATAAACAATTATGCTTAAATTCCTTTTCCTAAGCTGCGTATTTTCATCATGTGCTTGAAATTCTAATTTATAATGTATTTATCAGGACCTGAATTCCTGATTCAATATAATAAATTATTATTATTATTGTTACATTTATTTTCCCATCACTATTATTTTTTCTATCAGTGCAGTATATCATGTATTCCAAGAAACTGTCCTATGCTAAAGGAAAAAGCACGAAAAATCTCATCGCGGGTGAATGTTAAGGGTGTCTGTTTCTCAACTAAATGTTTGTATAAACATTAATTAAGTCATTTAATGTGATATTATATCATAAGTGGAGAATCCAAAGATGTTTCAAATGACTTGGCTGAAGATTCAAGAATTTATCTATAAAAGTATATATATATATATATCAATTATAGACGTAGTCAGTGTTGATGAAACCAATCTCATAACTTAAAAATATCTGGCTTCTAAAGGTGGGCAAAACTATGGTAGGAAACGCTTTACTATTTTACTCTAAGTATTGATAAAAACGTAAGGCTCGAAAGATTCCCACAAAAATCAAGTTGTTTCAGAAGTGTTTATGGTATATAGCGAATCGCATCGGTTTGGATAGCATGCGCCAGTCGTGTGCAGCAAATTTTAGTCATAATATCATCTCCATCGAAACAAAGCAGAGGTGTTCTCCGACCTCGAATGATCCAAATTGGGAGGCTAAGCTACTTCAAAAGACACTGGATCAAGCACTTCGTGGCAAAGACAAACATAGCAGCCCAATTACCAATCTATGAATTTCCTCTGCTATCCATTTTAGTGAGTAAAAGCTAGAAAATGTATTACGAAAAAATGAATTTAATCCACCAAGTCCTGGACCTAAGATTTCGCAAAAGCATTTCTCTTACTCCAGATTTCAATACATATGTCACGAGCACCCGAAAATATGCAGTGAGGTTTCACTGATGCAATGCTTTAATATCGATAGTTGAGAAAGCACGGCGATTGGGGTTCTTTCTTTTTTTGCTCTAAGTAATCATATTAATGGAGTTCTTTCGGCAACAATAAGTTAAGTGAATGCTTTTTCAAGTTTTAGTAACATTTCTTTCTTAAGACTGAAAAATATCTTTAAGAGATGTCCAGCAAAGATATCATGGATAGAATAATGTTTTTCCGTCTCCGGCTTTCTGAAATCAAGTTCTTATCGCTTTTCTCTCCCTCCTCCTCCTCGTAACTTACAAACACTTTTGAAAAATTTAAAAACTCATTGATAGGCGGAGCAGAAAGATTTTTCTGTATCGAGTTATTACACAAATGCATTAAAAAGATCTTTTATAAATTACGATAATGGTGAAAATATTTGTAAAATTTATCAGGTTTATATGTATTGTAAATCATATGAATTAGAGGTATTACAAATTACATTAATTAGAAATTTTTTAAAAAATACAGATATACAAGCAAATTTGTAAAAAAGATTTTATTTTATTTTTTTGTACAGATACATATTTAAACACGTGATAACTGTTAAGCAGAGGAAGTTAAATTTGCATAAGTTGTGTCTATTTACAATAACTGGATTATGATGTATCATATGAAACCGATTACAGAGTTTTCACTTACACCACGGCTGCATACCCGAACAGCGAGCAGAGCCGAATTTTGGACAGATTTCAAGTCACATACCAAGCACGAATTTTGAAAGTTATCGATCTAATCCCGAAAACTATGAGGGGTGAAGGAAAATAAAATCAGTAGAGCATCGCCAATTTAGTATGAAATGTCGTCCTATATACATCAGTAACTCGAGTAGAAACCATAAAATGCAGATCTCTCGGAATCGTATTATCGGTATAAATGCGTCGCTAATAATTTATCAGAGCATAAAATCTTTAAACTACATTTATCTTCAAAAAGGTGATGCATAATATACAAATACAAATGCTGAGTTATAGTACTTTACCTGGAAATATAAATTAACAATTGGCGGAGGTTTGTCAGACAGTGTGCGGACTGAAAATTCGAACCTAAATAAGTCTATGAAGAATTACGAGATGCTTATCTTATATGGGGAATACGGTCGTTGTGCGAGAAAGGCAGCATCGCTGTATGCATAACGTTTCTGTAATCGTTCTCTTCTTACTGCGCTGCTATCATTAATATTAATCTCTGGCTTACAGAAACAAGAAGCATTACACGTTCGCGTAGACCGATACTTGCATGTGTGCAAGGGCGTAATTCAGGAAGTAAAGGTAAAAGAAAATGATTTGCATTCTCCGTTGCGTGCTTTCGTGTTGTAAGTGTTCGTCTGTCTATCTAATTATTAAAATATCCATATTTCGGATCTCGGCGAAAGCACAGCTGATTTTGAGTATTTTCTCCAAAAGAAAAATATAGTCTTTGGCTCTTGGAATGGAGTGTGATGAGCAATAATTTGTCACCACCCGTATCTAGCAGTCCGGATTCCGTTCCTCTTCCCAGTTTCATTTTAAGTAGGAGTAAAAGGAATTTTCTGTGAGAAGACTGTTCCTAGCCATATTCTTATGGTGTAAGTCGTAGCACATGAAGGTAGTTGTTGGAAGGTCCGTGTTTCAGATTCCGGTGAAGGCCCAGTTGATTTTTGACGTTCCCGGCTCCGAAAGAAAAATCTAATGTCGCTAAAAATAAACATCCTGGCCTTGTGGTAGCCCACCCACTTTGCAGCACGAGAAACGTCAGTGTGGCGTGTGGCTTTATTTATTCCCGTACATCGCAAATGTTCATGATTACGAACTCACATGAACAGTGTATGCGATGTCAGTTGTGGCGTGTTATAGAGATGACACGACTGGTGCTCCATTTCTGGTATACTTTGGATTGTGTAGCGAGATTTCTTACTAATATTACGTTGACGGCGAGTCGAAATTCTATCACAGTGGGGTGTTAAACCGACACAGCTCCTACTACAGGATACTTTTTGTCAAAAAATAAGCAATATGCACATGTTTATTGCATATATCTCTCTTTCTTAAACTGAACTTAAATTGAAATATAAGGAATTAAATTTAAATAAAAACATAATTAATTACTTCAGTAATAAATAGCTTTCATGCTTTCTTATAATTTATAATCTTGCTCCATTTGTAGTTTTTATCGTATTTGCTATTGTAAAAAGTTTTTACAATTCTTAGATCTCACGGAAAGTACAAATGCAGCGACAATCAAAATAGTATGTTATGGGACTTTTATGATATATACACTGACTACCAATAAGTATTTGGACACCAGGACGACAGAAAAACTAACTTGATCAAAAAGAGTGGAGGGTGGGCACAGAGGGAATTACAGCCTGGGACGTCCGGTAAGTACGGTCCACAAGGGTAGGAGAACAGCGAGTGGTAGTTGCGCCACCCGGCGGGAGAAGCATAGAAGGTCCGTCCCGATGGGGACCGGTATGCAAAACGGAGGCGGCGCAGGCAAAGCGCCAGGGTCTCGATAGGGTTCAGGCGGACTCTGGCAGCCAGTCCATTCGATGAACTCCTTGGGCACCAGACCTACCTAGTTACGTCAAAATACAACCGCCATTGTCGGCTGAAAGTAACAGGGCCATCCGTAAAACTGCCCCGGAGGAAGCACCATTGTCAGCCAAAAGGAGGCATCGAAGTGGAGCTTAGGAATGGGACCAAGGGTCCCAGCCATACCAGAAAACAACACCCCCAGACCATAATTCCACCTCCGCGAACTGATGTTGACCATGCATTCTACCAGAGAGTTCGGAGTCAAACCCCCACCCATACCCTGCACGAACGGAAAGGGGAACCGTGATTCAGCCTCCAAAAACCCGTGGCCACTGACGACGTCCAATTCGAGTGCTTGCCACATTAACCTAGCACAGCGCGGTTGGAATTGTGATTAAAGGCTTAAGGGCTTTAGCACGACCAAGAAAACCAGCATAGGCGTCCTTACGGTTGGTAGCATTGAAACAATACTCCGGATGCTGTTGAAACCCTACGGATAGGGCACGTTGGGTGCGGTTCTCCGAATTTCTCGGGACGCACTCTCGAGCCTATCTCCGTTCGTTGTTGCCACTCGGGCCTTCGACATACCCATCACTTCCCTTCTTATCCCTAGCCACTGTCGATTGGGTACTTCAAATCATAGATATGTCCGTAAGGAGCGGCCACATTTGTGATACCTAGAATTGTACCTTCGCAAACAGGGTAGCTCCGAACTGCAGGCATTTGCATGCGACGAAAGCCGATGCTGTTTCCACACGAAGATACCGCGAGTCCGTGAAAGAACCTTAGATCGCAGATATCGTCATTTGCATAGGTGTCCAAATACTTATTGGTAGTCAGTGTATAAGGATAGAAATAAGGAGAATCCTGTATACATGTGCGCATACCTTATATACAAAGGGCAGCGAAAAGCAAATGGGA